GCCATTCTAACCTAACCCAACCTTAGCTGAGGCAGAGCGGGACCAGGTTTAGATCTGTGGAAGTAGAGAAGGTAGGGATTACCTTTAGTTACGAGCGTATTTATTTAGAGTGCGGGTAGGTGTGCTTAGCCAATGGCTACCCTAAAGGTGCCACCTCTGCGTGAGTGCAAGCAGAGCCGGAAAAAGGGAATAGGAATGCCTCCCACATCCCTAAAATGTAGTACTGAGAGTTTTTGAATACTATGGATGCTTATGAAAAGGGGATACTTTTGATGCCATTTAGAATACTGTATGTACTAATTCAACTAATAATTCCGCCTGGCTGTAATATGGGCTATATATGGTTGAGAAAACAGGGTTAAAAAGTTTTCTAGGAACTAAGTGAGATTAAAAAAGGCTGTATTGTGAATAAACACGGATTTTATTTAGCTTATGCGGGTACTCGTATTACCCATTACCATGCAATTATTCGCCACAAACGAGTTGCCCTTATTATTACGAGCTTTTCCAATAACTGATTCCTCACTGACTGCACTTTCTTTACACGCCACTATTACATGCCGGTCAGCTGCACCATAGTTTGACAGTTGGTGAGAGTTTGCGCTCATAACTGTGTAACCCTCTATTTCTTCTTCTTCTTATTTCTACTCTCTCTTTCTTTATTCCTCTCGCTATCATTTCTTAAGACATTTTCATGCCTGCTTTTCCGTTTTGACCCTTGAGCAGTGTGACTTTTACACGCAATACGCTCTCAATTATATACGTATGCATGCTCGAAACTCTCGCTCTCCCAAATAACGCATCGGCTGAATGCTTGTTGTATGTACGACGGAATGTGCTATATACGGAAGCTTTACTAAAGCACACCTGAGTTCTGAGAAGGCTCAACCACATCAACAGTAGCAGCAGCAGCAATGGCAACATAACTACATGCTAGTGGCAAGTGAATTGTTGGCAGTTGGAAAATGTGAGAGCGCCACTGGAGCTAATGGAGAAAAGAGCAGCAACAGTGGCAGCAATGGCAACGAGGATGCCAGTCTTGTAGTTGCACACACAAAAAATACATTTTTGACACTTGTGTTATTTCGTGACACACAAATCAATTTCGTCGTCGTCGTCGTTCGGTCGGTGGTGTATTACGTGAATTTTTCCAAGCTTACCGATTTTAATGAGTAGGAAAAAATTGTGAAAAATTTTGCTAAAAAATGGCTTTGCGGTGCCAGATAATTGTTACTAAAACGAGAAAGATTTCGCATACAAAAGTGTAAATGCGTTGATGAAGTTTTTGAAAGGATATTAACTTGAGCTGTGCTACTTTACGTTGTGCCTTCGTAGCAAATGGGAAAAAGTGATTCAAGCTTATGGCAGTAGTGACACAATTTTCACGCACACATCGACATAAACAGTTTATTGCAAATTGCTATATAAAAACCGGACTTTTTTGGGTCTCCATCGACCGCAAACGGAAGTCGGAAGCGGAAGTTGCTAGCGAATTAGTGTTTTTCGTTTTTTGTCTTATAAAAGAGTTGCATGTCTCGGTAGAGGGCTGGAGGGTTAGGCGGCTGTCAAGTGGCATTAGAGGTGTCGTTAAGTACCTTAAGCTGCTAATAGAGGTAGGTCTTAATTCCACACATACATATGTACATACAAACATCTGTATGTAGCTCTTTCACTTGCCACCTTGCGAATTACTCTACAAAAACTATGTAGTTGCAGCCAATATATTCATATATACATGCATACATACATATGTACACCCAGTGACCTGCTACTTTGCTTTACGCTCGCCATTCGGTGCCTCATATATATGTTTATACATACAGGAAAAAGCATGCGAGAGCGACAACTTACACTCACACACACTTACCTCTCCCCGCTTACACGCTAGTTAAGGGCCAACGGGCAAATGTGGTTGCTCATACCACCCAGCGTACCACCGCTGCTTTGCTAATCGATTTTGTTTCCGGCATTTTTCACGTGGTCTCACAGCCATTACTCTGCCTACCGTCACTGCTTTTACTCACTCGGTAGGCCAGAAGTATATACTCGCTGTTGTTGTGGTTTGTGTGCTTCTGCTTTTTCCTTTCGCTTGCAGGCATTCGTCGTTGGTATGTGTCTCTTTTCTGTGGTCGTAGTAAGCGCTGCTTCTCGTTGCTTGCCGCCGCCGCCTTTCCTTCCTCATGCGAATTGCTTTGTTTTCGTTCTGTGGTGCTGCTAGTAAGCGTTGTTGGCTTGGCGTGTGTCAGCTGTATAACGATTTTTCCCCGAAAACGCATAGCGAGTGTTGGGATTAGGTTTAACATCGCTCGAGTGGCCAAAGTGTTGTAGCGTAGTGACCAGTTTATTGCCATTTCGATGGCTTCTTGACTCCACGCCACAACCAGCTGCTGCTGCTGTTGGCTCAAGCCGCGCTGTCGGTGATTTGGAGAAATTCTCGACGCATCTGCAGTGTACGTGTGTGTGTGTGTGTGTGTGCGGCTAGCTGGCTGACGCTCTTAGTGTTCAAAAGGGGGCCTGTCGGCCTCTGCGAGTTAGTCGTAGCGCATTTTCCTGCTGCATGCTGTGCGTCTTTGTTGTTGCTGCTGGTCTGAGCCTGGTCTGCTTTTTGCTGTGGGCATTGTTGTTGGAGCAGTATATCTGCGTTTTGACCTATCGACCGGATTTTTGTTGCTGGTGCGTGCCACAAAAAAAGCGTGTGTGTATATTTGTATCAGTGTATGAGTGAATTTGAGTAGAAAAATAGTAATACTGAATGCCTTCAACCCAGTTTGGTGAAAAATAAGTAATAGAATAATAATAAAATAAGTAATAATAGAAGTGTGGCAGCAGTGGAAAAGCAATAAAGCAAGATGACAGCAGCATTCTAATCTATCAATTTAAAGTTTCCAAACCGTGTATGAAATTAAATACTTTTTTTTCTATTTTGTGTGGTGCTCGTTGAGGTGCTTTTTACCCTTCTTTTTAGCAACGAAGACTCTCTACATGCAAATTACATAATATGAAGTGCGCCTACTATATGTGAGTGTGTGTGTGTGTGTATTTATATATATTTGTGTGCATATGCAGCCACAATCTCATTTGTATTTGTGCCTCAGCGCACAGCTGACTGGCTGGCTGACTGCCTGCCACACAGTCTGCCTCAAGTGACCGCCTGTCTGACTTTGCACGTCTGGCAGCGCTCTCCAAACAAAAACAAAAAAAGGACTTGAAAGTGCAATTGCCATTAAAAAATTGCATACAGTTGCAGAAGTTAGTGCAACGTGACCGGTGCTACGGCAATACCGCATCGTGCGGGATGCTTAAAACGAACGGATTTTTTTTCTAATTTGTCGGTATCATACTGTTTTGACGCAACGCTCCGCGCGGTCAGTCTAAAGAGTTCACGCGAAAAAGCTGCAAGAAACGGACGGCGAAGAAATTAGGATTTGGATGTTTTAAGAATGAGCAGGTAATTTGCTTAGGTGGAGCGGGTTGAGGAAAAAACTGATGCATCTAGGAAGTTCGGACTCAGGAGAGAATGAATTGCTTTTATAGTTAAACAAGTCAGATTTCGACTTAGTCTTTCGCACATCGGCGCATTTTTAAATATATATTTATTTTTGCTTTGGAAGTTCAGTTGATTGTACTAAGCTCCCCTTGGATATCTTTTGAAAACACTATATATTTTTTATTTTCTGCAAACTTTTTTTTCGCACTTAGAATTCAATCAAATTGGCATTTGCCATAAGATCAACGAAGTTTAGAAAATTTTAATATAATTTTATACCACCTTTTTTTACCTTTTCCTTGTTTTTTTATTTTTAATTTATGAAAAAAAATAAATTTGTTTAGTCCACTACTAATTTCAACAAATGTAATGTGCAAAATGTATTTTTTTCATCACCCCCTGCACAAATTGCCCTGAAAACAATATTTTTTAGGTTTATTATATGGAAATATATAAACATGAAAATTGTTTTTTTTAATAAATATTAAAAGTGATTTCAATAGAGGATCAAAATAATTACATATAAAAATTAAAAAAATATTTAAAATGCAAAAAACTTTAAAAATAAAAATTGCATGTTAAAACCCCTAAACACCCAAATTCATGAAATATAAAGAATACTCAAACTGGTTTATAAATCGAAATTGTTTATGAAAATTTCACTTTATAAAGCTGAAATATATGCACAGATTTCAATGATTAATGTATAATATTTGAAATAAATATTTATTTAAATTGTATAATAAACTAAAAAATACCTACATGCATTTCAACAATGTCCTTTTTTATTATTAAAAATATTCAAAACAAAAAATCAAAACTGTTTAACAAATTTTTCTTTGATTTCATTTACAGATGTAACCGGAAAATTAAGCCGCAGTTAATTCGACGTGAAAATCGAAAAAAATTAACATATTTCAGCCAAAATCAAATAGCACTCTGATTTATTTCTGTTTGAGTTTTAAATGTTACGAACTCGTTACTTTACTCGCTAATTCTAACAACGAAATTTTATAAGTTAATCGAAAAAAATACATATGCAAGTTAATAAAAATAAACGTGGAAAAAATTTTGAGGGAATAGACTCAAAAAATAAATCTCGAAATATATTAAATTAAATTCTCTAAACACAAAACAACGAGAATCACGAAAATATATACCAAATTAATGCGAACAAATTTTACGAAAAATTTGCTGCGCTGAGCGAAATTAGTTAAATGTGAGTGAAATTTTCTAAGAAAAAATATTAGCGGTAATATAACAAAAAATTAATACAAGTTTTTCAGCGCCCTAAATTCTTCATGTGGCAGTGGCAGTATATCCCCAAAAGGGTATCAAAGTCATGCACAGATATGCTTAGATACCGAGAAAAATTGCTTTGAGGCACAAATTAAAATAAAGTGTTTTCCCTAAGTAATAAAAAAAAATAAACCAGACGCAAAAAACAAAACCTATTACAAAAGTGTTCAAACGGTCTTTAAAATTATGTATTGCTTAAAGTAAGGATGGAATTTAAAAACATATTTATATAAAGGACGCCAGAAAAGCTTAAGATTTAAAAAATTAAATATGTGTGCGAAAATCGAATTACCTTTTGTTAGGTAAATATTAAAAATAAAATAAGAATAATAAACAAATTTCGACTCCAAACACCATTAAAGTTTTACTATTAGCCAACGCTATTTTCAAAAAATATTGTAAGCATATGAAAAAATATTTAAAGGCACACTAAAAATTATATTCGAAAATAGTTTAAACACAGGTTAAACAATCCAAAAACAAAGTAATTGAAAAGAGTTTCGATTAAAACAAAAAAAGTATTGGATACTAATGCAAATTTAAAATAAATTCAATACTACAAATATTTCGCTGTTTTGTGGACTTCATCAATGGTCGCTTCTCGTCGTAAAGCGTAGCCGAATGCGAATCTTAATTACATGCAAAATAAATGGGTACAATGAGGCCAAATAAATACGATGTGAGTACTAAATTAATAAAAAATTTATAGAAAAGAAACTGTGTCTAGGCTTTTTCTTATGCCAACATGTATGTATGTATGTACATACGTATGTAATTTCTTCAAAAAAAAATTCTCAAGTAATATGATGCAAAAAAATGTCTCATTTATTTTATTCATATGCACATTTCTTACGAATCAAAATAAATACGAGTAATAGTTATTACAAATAATTTATTTTTACTAAGTGTCATCTCCCTGTTGTTTGTGTGTGCGCCACTTGGAGTGTCTCCGAAATGTTTAGTAATTAAAATAACAAATGACAGTTGAATGAGTGGTCACAGCCACATGGCAATTCCGACATACATATGGAGCTACATACAGCGGAACTTCGATATAACGAACCTTGACACACCGAAAATCTCATTATAAGAAGTGTGAAAATATTCGGAATATATTGACGGTTAAAGGTCCGTTAGCAAAAACCTCTATATAACGAAATTTTGTCTAAACCCTCTATGTAGCGAATTCGGAATATGTTGACGATTAGCGCTCCGCTATTGAAAGAATTAAACTATACTTATAACGAACTTTTCCAAAAATTTTGCATTTATCGTTATATCGAGGTTTCGCTGTACATACGTACATATATACACCAACATATATTCAGGTCACTGAACCCGATGCAATGAATATTGTTATATGAGCGTATTATAGAGAATGTGTATAAACAATGTTTGGCGAATTTATTGATAAATGTCTTGCTTTCATACTCATGTTGTTTTGCAATAAAACAATAATGTGCGGATTTAAGACATAGTAATTACTGAAAGGGGCAATCCAATGATAAATGTAGTGAGTCATCGTCTGGAGTATTGGGAAGTTGAGGTCCGGTCCAACTTCTCCCTAAATTTGAGACAAGCAACTTGATTTTTGGTGACATTTACCTGTATATCGTTACTTTAATTCAAAAAGGCCTTAACCAACACTTTTTTCGAAACTACATTTTTTAAGAAATTTTTGTAAGATATACATATATGTATTAAGATACACCTTCACTAAAATTTTGAAAGTCTTGGTACCAAAAACAATGGAGCTATGCCACTTTTTAAAAAGCTCTAAATTTATATTCTGTTATAAGGGAGTGAGATGTTAAGATTGAAATAGGTGCCTCATACAATATAGAGGATGTAGAAATTCGAGGTTTACAATATCCAAGCTGAATTGCAGCCTCTGCAATCGAAAGTATGATCAAACCGGGTGGTTATCTTACTATCGAGAGCATATTTACTGACTGACAACGATAATACAAATCCGTTTAAATACATCTAGAATATCCGTATATGCGGATAACCGAATGAATGGACATTAACCGGATATGCGGATTTTAACCGTAAACACGAATATCCAAATAGACATCCGAATTAGAGATGGGCACGGGACTAAATATTTAATGCCGATCCCGCCCATCCCGAAATTCGATTTTTAGGTCCCGAACCCGGCCATTCCGACGTTTTTCGGAATTGTACCGTGGGTCCCATGGTTCCCGATATCTATCTCTAAAGCAGGCTACAAACGGACAACAGATTGAAATGATTGGTTGAGATTTGAACGTGGGTGGCGTGGTTTGCAAACCGACCGAAGGTTGACAAAAGTATTTATGTCTTTCAAATTAATTTTAAATAATAAAAATTATAATGAAAGATCTGGCATAAAACATTAAAAGTGTATATTTTAAACATCATTTTGAAGGAAGATTTTGAGAATTGTCGGGGGTTGCGGTCTTATCGGGAGTGTCGGGAAAGGATTTTGGTTCCGCCCCGTCCGCCATATTTTTGCAGATCTTCCCGATACCGCCCATCCCGGCCAAGTTTAAATCAGTACCGTGGGTCCCGCGGGTACCGCTATCCCGCGCCCATCTCTAATCCGAATACCCCGAAAGTCCCAGTTCTAGTGTGTACGATGCCTAAGATAATGATCTATGATTTTATAATGAAAATATGTTTACCTAGTATTATGGAAGGAATTTAGAAATTTTTTAGATAAATAGTTGATTACTAATTGTAAATTCTGGGTAAATGCATTTGAAATGATTCTTGCCTAAATGAATGCAGGTTAATTAACAAATTCAAGGAATGTTTACTCTTTGTCACAAAATAAAAACTATATTTAACTATGCAAATATGGGTATAACTTGTATTTCCAAAAAAATGTCACTTAGACCCTTATGATTCTAACCCCTTCATATGGTGTCTAAGCAGTAAATCAACAATTTTCTAGGGGACAGACCCAGGTGAACCGGTTTCGTTGTACTATCCTCCCAATAACATTAAGGGTATTATCTCAAGTCTTGAAAAACCTTTGCACGGTGTACGGATTGCACTGTTAAAAAATTTTCCCATGTACACTGGTTCGACCATCCAATATGTGCGCCTTGCAAGGTTTACTTATAGAATAATCCCACCTGAGGTTTGGTAAGCAACATCCAGAAGAACTCAATTGCTCTTGGGGAATTGCATCAGCTTCCCGTTTTGATCAATTTTTTGAGTTAGACCAAAAGTTAACGAAACTGCTTTTGTTGTTAGGGTCTGATTGTTAGGAACTAAAAGTTTATTGAAGAGAGCTCTGAAATAGATATTCTGGGCACGTTAGCGAGATTGGGATACTGAAATCGATTAAGTGAATATGCTGGAGATGTTATCGATAGAGACATTGATATCTGTGAACGTGCAAAAATAGTATCGATAAAAGAGGCGATAAATTAAAAAAAAAGTAGCGATAAAATATTTCTGTATAAAAAATTAAACAATTAAACTTCTTTTTCGAAATAATGCGTACTTCAGTACGAGACGTTCGTTTCAAAATGATATGGTTAACCAGTTTCACATCACGACCTCAAGAGTGTTAAGCTCACTAAAATTCTTTTATTTATTCATATATATGTATGTACATAGACATATGTTTGTGTTTTATTGAAATCAATGCCGTCTTACAACTTCCTCAATTTTCCATAATCAAATCTTTTTTCAAAAAACTCAACTAACAAGTATTAACTCCTGCTGACATTCTGCAGCTACCGCGTTTTAATCCGTTGGTACCGCTTTTAAACAGCATTCACATGTCAATACATTTATGTGCAAATGAAATATGGAAAATAAAATTCAAATAAACTCGAAACGGGTAAATTTTAGCTAAATCATAAATAAGTCATAATCTTGAATAGGTATTCGTTAAAATCGCCGATATCAAAGGCACAAGTGTGCAAGCGAGCGTTCCAGCGTGTAGTTAGCTCGGCGTGCCCAAACACATGTCAAAGTCAATCTTATCTGCACACATTTTTTTTGAGTAAATATTTGGCTATGGAGCTGTCTCTGTGAAAATCGGGTTTTAAGTGCAATTATTTGGTGTTTAAAAACGTAGTAGCTCTAGCGCGTACGCGATGTAATGAAGACTACATACTTACATAGCAGCGTATTGCTGAAATATGAAATCGGCTAATTTATGCAGAAAATAAATTGAACAGAAATTGTAGTGGCAAACAGTTGGGCAACGAGCTATTTGTCCTCCGCTGAAGTGCGTAAATATGAAAAATAACGAAAACTAATTCTGCTTATCATCCACAAACAAACAAACACAAGTCGATTTTTGCAAGCATTGTAATCCGCTTAAACCGTAATTGCAAGCGCATAAAAATTTGACGAGAGTCGCTATGAATTTGGCGCGCCTGCTTTATGGATCTAAGCCGCTTAAGCGCAAGCGCAATTTATGGGGGAACCCTCAACGTTGAATGCTGTGCTCCAATGAACTACGCGAAGTGAGAAAATCAGAACTCTTGCGGCTAATGCCACTTACATGCTTGCTTAGGCGCTTAAGTGGCAGCTAGCTAATTGACTTATCATGCGTGTTGCGCAGGCGTATTTGCAGAACTGGTACAAGCAGTAGTCATTTCGCATGCCTACTCCCCCTAGCCCCAGCGCACATTCTTCCACTTTTTAATTTTATTTTTTTTTGCTGAACTGAAGCTCATATTCACTCTGAATTTACCGAAATGCCACACACGTTGTCGCTGCTGTCGCTGCCAACGTCTTCGTTACAAATTATGAAAAATCATCTGCTCAGCTGCAATTAAAATTCCGCTGATTCAATAAATTCGCCGAGTTGATTGAGTTGGTGCTGCGCAGACTGCCACTCGCTGTGCACTTTTTCTACGTCAATCCAAAAAAAAGTATGTATGTATAAACATTCTTGCGGCGCTTCCGAACCAATCGAACGCTTATTTCTTGCGCTTTTTTCAATATTTATTTTAATTCTTACGATTTTTTATTCATCGTATTGATTTACATTTTTTCAAGGAATTCTCCATCTCATTTTGTGCCCCCAACTGGCCGGCGTCGCGTCGCGTTGCTCACTCGCTGCCGACATGCACCAGCTGTCGAAATTGTTGCATGTGCGATCATCGCGATTGCGGCAGCGGCCAAGTACCTACGCTAGCGTTCAATAAACACCACAATAAAATAACAAAAAAGCAGCGCATAAAGTCGGTTGCAATGTCGTCCATGGCAGCGCTGATATCTTCATGAGCTCACCCCCTCGACCGCTGCTGCTTGGCTCATGCACTCCAACACTCGTGCCTGGGTTGCCTAGATTACTTGCCTGGGTGCAAGCCAGCCGCTGCCTGTGTGTGATCTTGCCACTTGGCCCTTGGCTTCAATCAATTGCTACTGTGTGAACGCGAATTGTTGCTCCAGTTGCACTGTTGCTGCTAAAGCGGCTCCAGTGATGAATATTGTTGCTACCGCTCATGCCGTTGCCACCAGAGGACCGACCAGGCCAGTGGCGACTTATCTCGTCGCGGCAAAGCAATGGATTTTGTTGTACTTTTTTATCAGATGCTATTTGTTTTTGCTGCTCATTTGTCTTTACTGTAGTGTGTGTGTGTTGTTTTTTTTTTGCAATTGCTCTGGGTTATTTATGTTGCTGCACGTTATTGCCGCTTGCCGCTTTAGCCGTTCAGCTGCCGC